CAAGAAAAAGTGTAAAACATAAGCTGTAAGAAATAATATCGTACATTTTTTTTTGTCATGAATGGCATTTCTATATATTGATTAAAAATAAATTATCTATATTTATTTGATAAAATTTACTAATACTTAATTTTTACTTTTTTTTTATGTTCAAATATACCAGATTTCTCCAATTTAAAATTTACATTTCCTATTCAGCTCATATATATATATATATATATATATATGATGGAATGAGTAAACCAATATTGACTTATCTTATTGATATAGAAAAATAATTACATTTTGGCTATAAAAGATTTTCCCATTTTAGAAAATGTATATTCTAAAAATTTAGTCAACATTTTTATTAGTCAACATTTTCAATAAAATGTAGTTTCTAATTTAGAAAATAGAAATGCTTACACATATATGATTCAACTGTAATGGATTTTATTCCTTTTTGTCTCTAATTTTATAACCCTGTTATCTTCTTCAATAAAATCTACAACTTTACTTTTTAATGTCAATTATTCACAACTTAAGTTCTGACTACTTGTATATTTCTTTACCCCTTTTAGATAAATTTTTTCAATTAATCTATTATTAATTTATTATCATAATCATGTAGCAAAATTATACCATTTTAACATTATCATATTTTACCTATGAAAATCATTTTTTAACCACATTCTGGCTTATTATTTTTTCTCTGTCAGATATTTCTACACACACATGTTAGTTGCATTGCATGGTTTCAGAACACCAAACTGAAAATTGAAAACTATAAAAAAAGGAAAGATTCTTGGGCCAATTGCAAGAATATTAAAATTTGAGAGCTGAGTTTTCTATTACAAAAAGGACCATAAGCAAATTTTAAGAACGTGGACTTATTGAAGACCCAGCATTCATCGAACATGTAACATTTGTCCACGTCGCTTAATTTCTCAAACGATTATTGTAAATCACATTGGATCCAACCCCTCCAACCTGTTCGAGTTTTCTTTATCAACACACTCCATATAGTCTTTTAATTACACATACAGCCGTTGACAAAATAAATAAATACATAAAGATACTTTTTTATTTTGAATATAAAGTTTTTTTTTATGTGGTAAATGACAAGACTAATAAATTTATTTAGATAAATGACAATATTTGTTAAGTTGTCATTAGTAAATAAAAAAAATACATACTGATAAAACATTGGGTATGTAAGTTGGCGTTTGGTTTATTGATTGTTCAAAATATTTCATATGATATTTTTCTACATGGATGTAATAATAATTAACACGGTAAATAATGATCTATAGCCCTATGATAATAGATTACAAGTTTATATGATTTAAAATGCTTGTCTTGTTACATAAGTAAATCTCATAGAAAATATTTGTCTGTATTGGTTCTACCTTCGTCTTGGTCCGATGCTTAATTATTGTTTTTTCAAGTGTGCTTTGATGTTTTGGTTAACAACATTTTTAATTACTTTGATCAGTCTTATATGACTTAATTATTGAATTTTCGTGCACATAATTTACATCGCGCAATTATGAAAATGCTGCAAATTGAGCACATCACATTCGGTATGTTAGTTCAGACATCATGTCTGTTTTAGAAAAAAAAAATAAGACGGAGTCTAACGGATTTTTAATTTTAATTGAATTAACTTATATCTTAGAACAAGACTGGTGGAGATAGTATGTTTACTTTTCGACCATTCCAATAAATAATTAATCAGGAAATACAAGACAGTGGAAATGTTCTAAGAGATGAATCCTACATAGGGATGTTAAAGATGTGTTAAAATGAAATCCAGTGGGTATCCGAAATTCATGTTTAATCTTGTGTTTTGCATCCAAAAACTCTGTGTTTAAAACGGACGGATATCCGAAAAAATAGTTTTACTCGGGTTTATTTTAAAGAAATTGCACCCTATAACCTAAAAAAACAACAAAATTAAATATCTAACCTCTAACCCCCTATTCACTCTCTTTCTCTTCCTATCTCTCTCTACCTTCTTTCTAAAAAACTAATTTTTCTTTTTTTTTGGGTTATTCACCTAAATCACCCTTTATTTTATGAGATTTTGGGTATCCACCGGAGTTTTTATCTCTTAAATCTCAGTTAATAAAGTGATGTCGTTTCACTTCCCAAAAATCTAAACACGAGCCCGAAATCCTATTAAAGCACAAACTCAGTTAATTTCTTCAATCGATTAACTAAATTATTAGGAATACGAACCTATTAATTTCTTCAATCGATCTCTAATCTATGATAGACCTCTGCTATTTTCAGAATTTTGACTAATTAATTAATTCATTCATGTTTATCTGTTTCTCTTGTTTACTACTATGAGATACGACTTCTTTTTTTCTGTCAGGAAACGAAATTTAAGTATGTTTCCTATTAAAAAAATGTATGTTTCCTATGAAGAAGTGAATTTGTTATGATCACAATGTGAGTTTAGTTAGAAAACTTTTTCCTTAAAATTTTTAGTTTGCAAAGACTTGACGAAGATATTGCTTAGATCCTTATTAGTATTTTACACACAATATTAAAATGTTTAGAGAATAATTATTTCCGAGGACGTATTGCTTGTTCCTTCATTTAATATCTCACAAGATAATTTTATTTAAATTTTGCATTTTGGGATACACTATTGACCATATCATTAATAATCATAGGGGTTAAATCTAATAACATCTACAAAGTTATATATTTTTGAAAATAGTATTTATAAATAGGAAAATTGTTAAAAATACTCCTTTTGGTGTGCCCCTTTTCAAAAATGCCCCTTTTAGATGTCCATTTTCAAAAATGCCCCTTTTTAAATCTGAAATTTTTATAAAGTTTTATTAGGTTTATAAGGTACTTATGGATTGTAACTACTACTTGAAGACTCGGTCCAAGTATTTATAAGGTTTTATAAGGTGTTTTTAAAGGTTTTACAAGTTATTTTAAAGGATTTTTAAGGTTTTTCAAAGGTTTTACAAGATATTTTAAAGGTTTTTAAAGGTATTTAAAATGCATTTATAAGGTATTTATAAAGTATTTATAAGATTTTAGATACATAGAAATGTAGTTTGTGTATGTTTTAATAATATTACATACATATTTGGGTAAGTCTTATATTTTTAAGAGCATTTTTTATAAGGTTTTTTAAAAAGAGTATTTTTGAAAAGTGGCATTGAAAAAGTGGCATTTTTGCAAAAGCCCCTAAATAAATATGACAAATGCAAGTCAAAGTTTCCAATTCAAAATCTCCTACCAAAAACTTCAAAGTCTTTATGGAAGAAAATAGCAAAAGTAAAACCAAAATTTGATAACACTAGTAACTAGTAGTAATACATGAAGTCTGAAATGAATATATCCCAGATTTAAGGCAGAACAATCACCAAGTCAAATTAAGTACAGCTTGAGTTTTTTCAAGTAAAGGTTTTTCCTATATTACTCATAATTAGGATCATTTCTGCGCATTTATCTATAAAAAATATATCATTATTCTAACTTATAAGTTACGTAGTTTAATAACGTGCATGAATTTTAAAACACCACTTGATAATCATTAATCAGAAATAAACAAAGACGATACGTATAAACGTTTATCAAGCGAATAAATAAAAACATTGCGAAGTCAAATTAAACAGATAATGGCATTGTCAGAAATTACATTTTAATATTTTTTGTTTTTAAATATCAAATGGGATTTAAAAAACATTAAAATTAAAATACCACAAAATTAAGGTGGTTTACAATAGGTCATTACTTCTTCTTCTTTTTTCTCAGCCAATGATTACTTAAACCCCAGGTTAGAGTAATTTTTTCTTTAAATGTTTTAATTTTTTGTATTTTTTTTTAGTTTTGGTCAAAGGAAAAATGCAGAAAATAGTAATTTAGAATAATCTCTCAACTGTTGATAAAAAAAGAATAATCTCTCTACTAAATACAAAAAAGAAGAATAATCTCTCAACTAAATACAAAAAAAAACACTGGACCAACATATATCTATTTTTAAAAATGTTTTATTTTTTATATTTTTTTTAGTTTTGGTCAAAGGAAAAAAGCAGAAAAATAGTAGTACTTTAGAATAATCTCTCAACTGTTGATAAAAAAAGAATAATCTCTCAACTAAATACAAAAAAAAAAAACACTTGACCAACATATATCTATTATGGATTAGAAATATTGAACTTAGGATCAGAGGTATATGTATATCTCTACTAACATGGCCAAAAAAAAAAAAAAAAACATTTGGCGTGACCAGTTAGATACATATACAATAAAACCTCTATAAAATTAATACTCTATAAATTAATAACCTCTCTAAATTAATAAATTCTTCCGGTCTCAAGTTGGGACCAGTGTAAAATATGACATAAATCGATAAATTAATAAGATAATAATTTTTTTGAAAATCTTATGTAAACATATGGTCCCGTCTATATCATAAATTAATAATTGTATTAACTTATCAATATATATATATATATACATATATACATATATTATATAAATTTATATATGTTATATATGAATTACTATGATATATATTTAAAATATTATATGTAAAAAATTTGATGAAATATGACTCTATTATTCGAAAAAAGTTTGTGTTGTTTTTTAAACTTAATAATTGTTTCTCTATTTGTAATTAGTTTTTAAGAAATATTGTTTATAAAGAAAAAAATTATTTTTAGATAGAAATTTTTTTAAAAAATTACAAAATTAGTAAAGTCTCTCTATAAATTAATAATTATTAATTTATCGATAAATTAATACTTCTCTAAATTAATAAAATTTCCTGGTCCCAATATTATTAATTTATAGAGGTTTTACTGTAGCTTTAGCTTCCTTTCACATGAGAGAACAACGACGCCGGAAAGCAAAAATTGTAATAGAATTATTTTTAGTGATAATTTTTGCTTTTGAGAGAATTTAAGACAGAAAGTGTTATTAAGAGAGAACCACACAATAACTAACACTTTCTCTCTTAAACTCTCTTGTAATATCCCTAAATTAAAAGCCCATTTAAAGACCCATTACAAGATTAGAGATACTCAGCCCATTTAAAAGATACTAATTAAAATTTAAAACTAAATAATTTCCATAAAAAGAGTGAGGAAGAGACAAAAGTGATTGATTGGTCGAAAAAAATGGAAGCGGCAAAGAAACAGAGTGTTACAAATCAGCTTCTCGCCGTGAAAACAGCTTCCGGCAAGACTTTTAGCCAATTAGCGGCGGAGACTGGTCTCACCAACGTCTACGTAGCTCAGCTTCTCCGTCGCCAAGCTCAGCTCAAACCGGACACAGTCCCGAAGCTTAAGGAAGCTTTACCAGCTCTGACCGATGAACTAATCGGAGATATGATGTCTCCGCCGTGGAGATCTTATGATCCTAATCTCATTCAAGAACCCACTATCTACAGGTTTGCTCTGGATATTTTACATATTTTTTTGTGGGATTAATTTTGATTTTTTCTTGGGTTTGGGTTTGATTCAGGTTGAATGAAGCAGTGATGCATTTTGGTGAGAGTATAAAGGAGATTATCAATGAAGATTTTGGCGACGGCATGTAAGTTCTATGTTGTTCTTCTTATTATGTAAAGTTTGGGTTTTTATCGTTGCTTTAAAGGGTCATTGCTTAGTAGAATCCTTGTGATCCATCTTGAGAGGATTGAATTGAAAGTTTCTTGATTTATTGGCATGTGTGTTCTTTCTCTGGAGTTATGATCGTATTAAACCTTGTAACTGTAGTAAATTTACTCTGTTTGACACTTTATAGCTGAACTAGAACGTATTTGAAATGAAAAATGAGAATTTTAAGGAAAAGATGGAAATGTTCATAATTTATTCGATTTTTTAGCAGAACATGTCAAGAAAGATATGTTAGCATTCATGTGTGCGTGTGTGTGTGAGGAACAATTGATTCGTAGCAGGCTTCTTCATTGGCCAAATTTTGTATGTGAGAGTGATCTATCTATACTAGTCTTTGTTAGTTCAAGATGATCATATAGATCTTGCAGATGTAGTTAAACCTAGTCGTTTAACACTTTATAGCTGAACTAGAACGCCCTTGGATCGAAATAAGGAATTGGTTAAAGTAGAAGCTTGAAATGTCAAAAATTTATCCGATTTGTTCTGGAACATGCTAAGAGGATGTGTTGGCACTCTTCTGTATGTGAGAAACGATTGATTTCTTGTTGCTCAGCATTCGGTTTTTCGTCCCTTGGTCCTAGTTGGCTTCTCAATGTGCCAATTTTGAATGTGAGAGTGATCTATATATATATCGGTCTTTGTTATTTCTTGTTATGTGCACATATGTCATGCCCTTTAAAAGCTGAGTCTTTGTTTCTCTGTGTGTGTATATGTTTAGCATGTCGGCAATAGACTTCTATTGCTCTGTGGACAAAATCAAAGGAGTGGATGGTAATAATCGTGTGGTCGTGACACTTGATGGGAAGTATCTTTCGCATTCCGAACAGGTTAGTGTTTCATTTTATAATGCATGTTAATAGATTCAGAATATTTGAATGATTTGGGATCACTTTTGTTGCAGAGGACGGAGAATATGGTCTCAAGGCTAAACCTCAAGGGAAGTACAAGCGAATGATATGAATGTAAAGAAGCCTTTTCGTAACAATGAAGGCCTCATTGTAAGTTGTAACGTTGTAATGCCTCTGGTGTTTGTTTATCTGTAATCTATGCAACTTCAGCATCCCGATTAAAGCTGTTTCAGGTTGAATAACAGTGAATAAATAAAACATATAAAACCTTTCTATGTTTGTATTTAACATCGTAATCGAGTTCTGATTCATGCTTAATATCAATTGGATAAAGTTTATGGCAGTGCTATGTACACGAGATGTAACACTGTCACAGAGATCTTGAGTTACATCATAGTACTCAATCTTGAATAGCAGTAAGGTTTAATCTTGAACAGCAGTAACCATTGTACAATAACTGATTGTTGGTACAGAATACATAATCAATTATGAAAGCAGAAATTCAAGTGTCCAGATACTCGATCGCAAATTATGAAACTTTACGGGAAACACACAAGAAATGTGAGTAGTACTTCAGACTGGAAATGATTCATCTAACGTTGTTTTTTCTGAGTTGAAAAGGAGCTGCGGGACGGATCATCATCACCGAATGCAACTACGTTCCCTGGACGTGAGAAAAATATCTGCAATGTTGCATAAATAATGCATATGTTATTCAAATCAAGAGGCATGTGTTAATGCTCGAGTATATGTGTGTGTGTGTGTGTCACCTGGTAGTCTCCAAGGACCAAGGGTAAGAGTCTTGAAACCAGCTGCACAATAGTCGAAATAATATTCCCATATCCTAATGAATTTATCGTCGAATCCAAGATCGATGATTTGTCTGCACAAGTAATAGTTTTTTGGGGACATGAGCACAAACATACATACAAAGTCCAAAGACAAAACAGAGGAAAGGTTTTTAATTTTGATCTTACTTTTGTCTCTCCAAGAAATTCTTCCTCCACAATCTCAGCGTTTGGTAGTAATGAATCCCAATGTTCTCAACATTTTCAATGCTGTGTTTTTTTTCCGGTGTTAGATAGGTCGGACATCAGAGGAAGATAAAGCCGGAAAATTGCATTTGAAGCTAAACTTTGATAAAGAGAAGACTTTACCATAGCCTAGAAGAAGAGGACATGGCTGAAGTAACTCTGGCTAAAGAAGGAAGGCATCCACCTGGGAATATGTATTCTTTTATGAAATCTGAATTTAGTCTGTACTCATTGTAACGTTCTTCGGGTATCGATATAAACTGTTATTATTGTTAAACGTTAACCACTATGGTTGTGGATGTCGGATTCACACATTCAAGTATTTTTATTAGTAGGAAAGATTATTCTTGAGGGACAAAAAATAAGAACGTAAAAGGCTTATGAATTGCTACAGAAATTGCTATCGTATTTCTTGCTCTAGAGGGAGATCCCTTTACATGGCCATTAGCCTCCATATTTATACATAGAGAAACGACATTAAAAATGAGTAATTAAGTACAATTATTCCTTCTTAAATGTGTCCGTTTTGATTCCTTGATTTTAATGCTCCACGTTTGAATTTGAGTTGACTCTGGTCTTTATGGGCCTCGCCTTTCGGCCCAAATGTACTTGGACCGACTTAACCATGACCTCGTCTCCGGACTCGTGTCGAGATGCAGTCACTTCGGACCCTCTTTATGTTGACAACCACTCCGACCGTTCCTTTGGCTCACGGATCCGACGGGCTTCATCCTTTATGGGTCTTCATCTTGTCTACGTGGCAATCTTTGGTTGGTCCCGGACTTCTGGTGCGGGATCCGACACCAACAATTAGCCCCCCAAGTTCTTCGAAGTGCCATTCCAATTCGGAGGACTTTAAATGCTTTAAATGACCAAAGATTGCGCTCGAGAATCTTTCTGATTTCCCGCCGAAAATCTCATTACTCCTTTAATTTCGGCACTAGCCATTTTTACCCGAGTGACATCTGTCATCATTATGACCGTATATTAATTAATTACTATTAAAACGGGAAAAAACCTTCCCACTTCCCACACAACTTCCGAGGCGGTTTCATCATTAGCTTGTGTGAGGTAACTTCTTTTCACCATTACTTTCTTCTTTTACTTTTGTGCTTTAATCAAAACTTCTCTCTACTTTTCTTCACCGAACCTCCCTTCGCCGGATCTTCAATTTTTCATTTTTCTCCGATGACTTCCGATTCTGAGAGACCTGAATCTCCGTCTTATGATGAGAGGCGTTCTAGTAACGACGAATGCACTCGTCCTAACGATATCGCCGGTCCTCATTACAAATCCACCTGTACTCTTCAATCCCTTGAACGATTAAAGGGGCTTTGTCAAATTCCTCCTGAAATTATAGCGGAGGCGCAAATAGCCGATCCTACGGAATCCCCGGAGAACCACCGTGACGGCTACTTTTGTGTTTACGAAATTTACTTCAAGGGCTGCGGATTGACCTTCCCCCTTCCCGAAGCCCTAATTCGATTCTTGGCGGCACTCGAGATTGCTTTACCTCAATTAACCCCCAATCTCCTCCGAACCATCCTCGGGATTATAACCGTTGCGGCGGAAGCTGGCTACGTCATTGGAGTCCCCGAGCTGAATGAACTCCTAAGCGTAAGGAGTTCATCAAAGAAAACTGGGTACTTCTCGGCGTATCCAAATGCCAACAGGAACGTCATTTCGCACCTCCCGAACAAGGATGAAAACTGGCACCATCCTTGGTTCCTGATTAAGAAAACTCCCGCTTCGATTGGGAATCTTTCCGATGTACTCCCATCGAAGTGGTCTACGAAGCCTGGTAGAGACTAGGTCGTATATTCCTTTCCTGTTTATTTTATTATTTTTTACTGACCAAATTAGTTGTTTCACTTCGCAGCTCTTATCGCTTCAACTCTCCCGACTGAAGAATTTGTCAAGTTCTTCAGAACAATCCTCGAAGGGGAAACCCTTTGGAATTCTTTCACCCTCGATCGGTTTATCGAGGCCAACCGAAAACTCAGGATGAGTCCTCCCAATCTACTTCATCGTCTTCCGCCTCCTCCCTCAACTCAGGGCATGTCAGCTCGGGCCCTTACTGCCCAGCGTAAGAAACTTTCCAAGCCGATAGCAGAGGCTTGTGTTGAAAACAAGGCGTTCCTCGCGGCCGCTATTGATAAGAAAGATTACAGCAGGACCCTACTGGTTGATGATAACAGCTCCGAGGGAGCCAGATCCGTTGCTGCTTATAGGCTAACACCTCGTCGTGAACGTCATGACGAACGTTCTCCCCGGAGAGAGCGGTCTCCTCGTCGCGATTCTCCTCGGCCTCCCCGAGATGATTTCAGCAACGAACCACTTAAGAATTTGGTTCGTAGGAAGAGAGACAAGTCGTCCCGTGGTGACTCGTCTCCGCGAAGGGAGAAATCAAGGGCCCGGACTGATCGTTCACCTCGATCATCCCCTCCCACTAAACCAATGGGTCCTCCCCGGCCTGTTGACATGTCTTCTTCTTCTCAGCCCGACAGCGAAAAGACTGCTCGGAGTGCATCTCCTAAAAAGGGAGATTCTGAATCTCGAGATGCTTCCTCGAGGTTAAAAACCGTTCTTGTCCCTCAAGTCAAATCGCTCTCAGGTTTGGTGATTTACACATACTCTAACGTTTTTGTTTCTATTAAGATTCCAATTTTTACAATTCTTCCTTCTTCGCAGCTATGGAGAAAGAAGGCAGCGTCTTCCGATGCTTCAAGACCCGATCGGGTTCGATCTTGCCAGACTTCGACAAGTGGCGCCCTGCGATTCGTGAACGCTATTTGCTTCACGCGCATCACTCATCTCGGGTTAGTTCCGTTTTTTTATATTGCATTGCCATTCTGCGAACTGACTCGCCATCCCGGGTTTATGTATAATGCCAGGTTCATAGCGAACTTAACGACATGATCGAACATTACGAAGGGTTGGTCATTGGACGGGAGAAGGAGATTGACATGTGGAAGAAGAAACTCTCTGCCCTTGAGGCTGAACTCAGTTCTTCTGCCGGCTCCAAGCACGATCTGGAGGACAAGGTCGACAGTTTAACATCCGAGCTTGCGCAGATAAAGGGGGAGCTGCAAGACCAGTACGATCGGAATTACAAACTCCAGGATGAACTTTCTGGTGTTCAGGGTAGACTTCATGAATCCGAATCAACCGCCGATACCCTGAACAACCAACTTATCGAGCTTGACGCGAAGTACAAGGCGCTAGCCAAGTTGCGTGATTCCGAGTTGGCAAGGTCGGCATCGAAGGCCAGAAAGGAGGTTAAGGGACGCGGGATGGAGTTGATCCAAGGGGCCATCCGCTTCATGCAGACCGAGAAGGCTAGGTCAGACTTGGAATCAGACATCAAGGAGCATGAGAGCAACCTGATTCTGTTGGATCAAATCCATGAAACAGATTTCTCCGAGAAGCAAGAAAGGACCGAACTGTCAACTAATCTTTCTGAAAAACGGAGTCGCTTGGCAGCTCTTCCCACTTCGACCTTCAACCCGCTTGACTTCGAGGAATTCTTTACTGAATCACCTCCTATAAGTGAATCGGGTTTAGACTGGGCAGGTAACGCTTGGCTCCTGACGCTTACCACCCTTTTCTTACCTTACGTTTTTTTTTAAAATTAACTGGAACCGTCCTTCCCAGGCTTAAGTGAGACGGAAGATATCGTCCCACCCGAAATTCCTGCGAGACCGGAGGTCATCCCGGAGGATGGTTGTACTGTGGAGAGCGGACCAGGAGTCTCATCTGACCAAGCACCTGCCAAGGAGGCGAATGAAGCTTCGACTGTTGAGCCGGATTCCGAGGGGGCTGTTGCTCCGTAGTGGCTGTGTCCACTTTAAATTGGGAATTGTCCCATTAATTTTAAGACTTAATTTCGAACTTGTTTTTGCCTAAGGAGGCTTTATTATTTCTTTTTTGAACAAGATATTTGCCTGAGGAGGCTTTTAAACCTTTCTAGGTTATGACCCCAAGGGGGTTTGGTTAAAATTTTATGCGGGTTTGCAAAGTCCGCTTTTAACCTTTTGTGGCCTTGTGGTTATGCTTTCGAGATTTTTAGGCTGATCAGACCTTTCTCTTTAGAATGCGAGAACTGAGCTCGGCTTAAAGCGAGTTCCCCACTTCGGGTTTAGTCAACTCGATAAATTTATTGGGCTTGGGCCTCAGAAACTTTTGTAGTTAATGCGACGGTTGCTCTTTTTTTTTTTTTTTTTTTAAAAGTAGGGAAACGGCTCGTCTTTAATGCAATAACTGCCCTTTCTCGATTTTCCCAAAAAGGGGCTAAACCACTCGGGCACACTACCATTATTGGATTTATGGTTCCAAGACAAACCATAAATCATTATAAATAAAGGCTTACCTACCTCTAAGCTTTATTTAACTTCGTTTTTAGAATCTTACTTGAGTAAAATTACGAGTATGGAAAACGAAAAAGTAGCCCCCGTTGATCCCGGCAGTCCACTCTTCTTGTCCGGCGACGGCTTTGAACCGGCCGGCGTTCTTTTCCCTCACGCCGTCTTCCACTTTCCTTCGAAGGAGAAGAAGGAGGCTTGCGACTTTATTGACAAGGTTTATATCTGTCTTCTTTGATTAAAAGCTTTTGTTTCATTTTATTCATTCATCTTTATGCTAGGTTGCCGACAAAAACCGTCGCTTGTGTGAAGAGAGGCAGCGGCTGGGCCTCAAAAGGCAAACGCTCGAGGCTCGCATCGCTCGGGTGGAGAGGAAGATACGGGCTTTGGAAAGTGATCCCTTTCAATGGGAATGGCGGAACTTCGATTCTGTTGCTGAGATCCCGAAGATGCTTCGGATGTATCTCCGTGCTAAAGGAGTTCCGGGTCCTGTGAATGCTCCGGTCCATACCGTTCCATCTGATAGCGAGGAAGAAGACGAGGAGGAGGCCAGCACCTGTCGGAAACGCGTTCGGGATCATCCCGAAGTGGATGCCAAGAACAAGGCGTCCACTTCGAAGACTAAACCGGCGATGAAGGAGCCTGTTCCTGAGCCTCTTCCATAAATGTTCTCTAACTTCTTTACTTATTTTGAACTCGTAATGGGCTTCGGCCCCTTTTTATTTATGGAAACATTTGCAACTTTCCTTACTTTTCAAATATTCTCGGAGATGCGTCTTTTAATGCAGGATTTGTTCGAGGGCATAAATCTCTCCGCGAATCACTCCATTCCTAGGATAGAGTCCGCAGCTTACTCGTTCCTATAAATTATAGTCTCAATTTCCCTTTACTCCTCACCATTCTTTTCA